TGGCTGGATTACAATGTCCAACTTCAAGAGAAAACACGTAACTTCATTAGAACAGAGAAGTTGAGTTTAAATATATTAAAAATGCGAGAACAAAAAGATTGACTAAAAAAAAAGAGTGTAAAAGATTCTGTATTCAAAACACGTGATAAAGTCATGTATTTACTACAAGAAAAATAAGTCATGTATTTTACTAAAAAATTGAACCACTTTGCCGAAAGAAAACATGAACTTTTAAACCACTTTGTGCAGAATTATTAAACAAAAACGTATTGTATTCTCTTCTATATGTAATCGAATATGTATACACCACTTGAACAGAAATACCTTAAATAATTTACAAATGGTAAGCCTCCAAGTTAGACCCTTTTGCCTATAAAAGGAGTCGATATCACGAGTACCTTAATTCATTCATACAACTGAACCCCTAACCAAATAATATATTTTTAGAGACCAAAGAAAATGTATTCCTCTTCTTCTTCCTCCTCTTTGACCACCCTAATTAAATTGGGAGTTCTTCTTCTCCTTCACGTATCATTTTCTCATGCTCAACTAAGTCCTTCCTTTTACGACAAAACATGTCCACAAGTCTTTAACATTGCAACTAATACCATTGTCGATGCTTTGAGATCAGACCCTCGCATCGCGGCCAGCATCCTTCGTCTTCATTTCCACGACTGCTTTGTTAATGTAAGATACCACTAGATTCAATATATTCACGTATATAATAAGGTCAAATATATATATTTAAACCCAAGAAAAAGAATTGTTTAAATACTTAAACTGTAAACCGCCATCTTAACAAGGCTAAACTGGTATAGTAGTATGTGAATTCACATCTAAACCAAAATAACTAGTAGTATGGGAGTCTATACTTCGGTTTATGGTTCGACTCAGATTATTCTTTTGATTAAAGAGAATATACTCAACATAATTTGTTTTTTTATATACTTTGGTTAGAGAAATTTTTGTTTTTTGATACTCGGCATATTTTTACTATCAAAAAGTTTTGGATTTTTGTACCATAATTTTTTCGGATTGGAGACTCTAGACTTTGAGAAACGCCATGGGGAACCCAAAATATTGCATTGTTTACGGATGTTAAGACGTTGTGATTTAATTATGAATGTGGTACTTGACTAATATTTGGTTTTGATAAAAAGGGATGTGATGCATCGATATTGTTAGACAACACAACATCGTTTAGGACAGAGAAAGACGCGTTTGGGAACGCAAATTCAGCTCGAGGCTTTGAGGTCATCGACAAAATGAAGGCTGCCGTGGAAAAAGCATGTCCTAAAACCGTTTCATGTGCTGATTTGCTCACAATCGCAGCTCAAGAATCTGTCGTTTTGGTATGCATATTCTTTTACAATGCTATGCAAATTTACATCTTTTATTCTTTTGTCGTCTAAAAGAGTTTTTAGGCCATACTTTTTGACTTGTAAAGGGAAGCACATAATTAATATCAAATCTAATTGTGTACTTGTAAATTGAACATTTGATAGGCGGGAGGTCCTTCATGGATGGTACCAACTGGTAGAAGAGACGGTTTGAGAGGATTTATGGATCTTGCTAATACAAACCTTCCGGCTCCATTCTTTACTCTTAAACAACTTAAGGATGCCTTCAAAAACGTCGGCCTCGACCGTCCTTCTGATCTGGTTGCTCTTTCCGGTATGCAATCATAAGATCAAGTTCATACATAACCAATAAATATTATCATTGTTGGGTTAGTTTATTTATATCTTTTCATTTATTTTCTGCTGTTAGGTGGTCACACTTTTGGCAAAAACCAATGCCGGTTTATAATGGACCGACTTTACAACTTCAGTGGCTCCGGTTCGCCCGACCCAACCCTTGATAAATCTTACCTTAAAACACTTAGAAAACAATGTCCTCGCAATGGGAACCAAAATATCTTGGTGGATTTTGATTTGCGTACCCCAACAGTTTTTGACAACAAATACTATGTGAATCTCAAAGAGAACAAAGGTCTTATCCAGACCGATCAAGAGTTATTCTCTAGCCCTGATGCTTCAGACACTATCCCCTTAGTCCGAGCATTCGCTGATGGGACGGATAAATTTTTCAAAGCGTTCGTGGAGGCGATGATAAGGATGGGAAACCTTTCACCTTTAACAGGGAAACAAGGAGAAATCAGATTGAATTGTAGGGTGGTGAATTCGAAACCAAAGATCGAGGATATGGTAGATGATAATGACTTTGTCAGCTCAATATGAGGAAATGTTTTTCTTCTAATAATAAATTATGAATGTTATGTTATCAATGTTATGGAGAAGTTATCTGTTTCTTTTACTTCCTTGTTTCTTTTCCTCTACTTATAACCAATAATCAGTATCGCATATAGCTTTATTTATGAGCTATATACGAAACGATTCAAACAAATCATTTCGTATTTTAAAAGAAAATCTCTAATGTAAGAAAAAAAAGTGATAATGCTAGTACTGATTCTGTAATAGCCGAGAAATTCAAGAGATTGAAAGATCAACCCTCTAAATGTGAAGAATAATATAGATAGGGGATTATTCAAATGAAAACACAAGTAGTAGATTTAGAAGCATTGTAAAGGTTTTTGTGGGACTTTAATGAATTTACATTATAATTCCAATGTTTATACTTTAGATTTTTTTTTTTAGATAAGGAGTGTATAATTTAGTAGAAGAAAATTCTTCTAAATTCCACAATTTGGATAGACTAGTAATTTTTTTTTGTAAGGAAGCAAGTATGTACATTAGTTTCTAACCAAAGTAATTCTGACTCTCTAGCACCGGAGAATGCAAATCAAAAGAAAGAGAATGCTGAAGAAAATGACTCAGAACCACCACGCCAAAAAAAATCAGTTTCCAATCTCAGTTCCTCTAAATGGACTAAGAGTTTGCTGCCTCCAGACTCGAGTAAGTTCCTTTGTTACCTAGACGCCTCTTGGCAATGAAGCTCCAGTAGAAGTAGTAACATTGGTTGTTATATAGCTAATCCTGCTGAAGCAGAAGCAATGGCACTGCTAATTGCCGTTCACCACTTGTGGATATGTCATTGAGACCCTGATGAAAGCTAAGCAAGCACCTAGAAACTCATATGCATGTCAACAGTCAACACAGTTATCCTCTTACAGTATACTTATATGACAAAACGAGGAGGATTCAGCTTCCATCTATCAATTCTCAGGTAGAGATACCTTAGCTAAATATGCAAGACTCTCTACATCCCTTTGTTGTATCTTGGAATGCTCTGTCATGTACCCTGTTTCTTAATGATAATGAAAAAAAAGTTAAAAACTTTTCAGATGAATTCATTTACAATTTTCCACAAGAAAATCACGACTCCAAAATTCACAACAACAATAGGTCTTCAGAGATCTATCGACTGCCGTTGCTGCAAAACAAAAAAGATGGAAATGTAAGATTGTTTCCGTTTGGTCCACAGAGACAAAACTTCTGTCTTATTCTGCAATCGTAAAGTCGTGTTTTTTTTACCTTGTCAAGTGGCATGTTTGTTCTCACCGAGTCAATCAGTGAGAAATCAATATCTGCCACGACAATGCCAGTCGAAACACGATCTGCAGCAGTAACAGATAGCGAATTATATCCAAAACATATCACCCATAAATCTTTTCATTTTGATCAGGAGGGATTTTTGTCTATTAGATCTAGATATAGCTGAAGCTAACAATGGTGGATACGCATGTAAATATCAGTAAGAGTTATGATGAGACTGGGATTCTCACCAGGTAATCTTCCAACCACAGATCCCCACGGATCAATGATAAGTGTGTCCCCGTAACTTTCTCTTTTCTCATTATGCTTCCCAGCTTGAGCAGCAGCTATGACCTGACGATTCATTAAGCAAAATAAATTTAAGAGAAATAAAATGTGATGAATGGTTAAAGAGAGAGAGAAGTGTGCAATCACATACATAACATTGGGTTTCAATTGCTCGGGCTCGAAGAAGAATCTCCCAGTGTGCCTCCCCAGTGACCTTTGTGAAAGCTGATGGTACAAGTAAAACCTGCCAAGTTTTGGAAGTTCACAGGACAACCATTAAGACAGACCAGTCATATTCAGGTCTGTGAAATTTTGCAAGATAACTGAATTACTATGGATTTTGCAAGATACCTGAGCTTCCTGGTCGAATCTCAGTTGCTGATAAATCTTAGGAAATCTCAAATCGTAGCATACAGTAAGGCCTAAGCGTCCAATAGGGCTATCTACGGAAACAATTTTTGTCCCTGACAAAATAAGGATTTAAATATGTATCCCAAAGATATGATACACATCATTTCATAGTCTTCTTAAGTGTGAATAAAAAAGGTTGCGCAAAACAGAATCTCTTAGGGAATATCAGCATGATGTGACGGACAAAGTATTTATTGATCATGGATTTTGGTGGTTTTGCGTTGACTATCAGGTTGTGATACCACTTCATGTGTTTCAAACAATAAATTGGGATTTTGAGCTGTTACGAATCACTCCCCAAACAACTTTTCCTTCCTTTCTCGATGCCAAAAGCAATACGCATAGCAGGTGTGTCAAAGAGGAATTAAATTATAAGTTTGGAAAGGAACCAAGATACTTTATCCTCATGAAAGTCTCAGAATGCTCAGACATTCAATCAAGATGACAGGATCCAGAGTTTACCTGGAACTGTAAAGCTGCTCTCCTTGTATGAACTTCCACCAGGAACATCAACATCAAACCTTACAAAAAAACGGGGAAGTTGTCATTTAGTGATTCTGCAAACAGAACCAAATACAAGCTTGATAAAATCAAGAATAGGATCTTCGGCATCTTTTGGGGAAAAAAAAACATTGAAGACAGTTGAGAGAAACAACATAACAATTAAAACCTGTGATAGTATAGATATGCACAATCTAAAAATCCAAGGAGAGTCAGAAAAAAAGTTACAAATGCATTTTCTGATAAGTGCTTCTGATGATCCCAGTATCATCAATCACAACATGTGTATTGCACAAATGGGTATCGTCAAATCTCTCTTGGAAGCCTCCAAGAGACAACCATATATTTGAATCCCTGCAAAAAAAAGAAAGAAAAGAAGGTTATAGATAGGCTTAGCAAATGCAGAGGAAACATCTCAATGTACCTAACTGAAGTATGCAAAGAACATGTTTACCTTGCTAGAGAGCAATACCGTTGCATCACAGGTCCATCTAATGCTTCAGCAATTTTCACACTGTCCCCTAATTTATCTCCAACGTAGGAAAAGTTCTCAGGGAAGCAAATCAGCTTTGCACCGGCCGAGGCTGCTTCCTTTTGTTAGAAGACAAAATCAAACCTAGAGTTAGATATACAAAACTAGAACTAGAATTGCATAATCCATTATCTTCCAAGATTGTATAAACCAAAAAAAAAAACTTGAAACTGGACACCAACACCAGAAATTCACATCACTAGTAAGATTTTCGTTCACTAATCCGACTCTCAGTCGCTTAACTTATTAAAAGCATATACATAATCTGAACCTGATAAGTCAACATAAATCGATTAAATCATCGCAAAGTATAATCGATCAAGAAGACAATCAAACCATGAGTTAGTCAGAAATGGATCTTGAGATTGGGAAGATTTTACTTGTACGAGACGAGAGCAGGTGGCGTAATTGGCCATCAGATCATTCACCGACGTCATCTGAGCAGCTGCGACGCGAACCGTCTTCTGTACGGTGGCGATGGAGGAAGCCGCCATGGCAAACGGAGAGAGAGCGATGCGAGTAGATAGAGAAGCTTTAACCAAGTCGCCGGAAAGGAAGCAACAGTTCATACGCGACGCAGTGTTTTGTTCGATGAGGATGATAAAACTTTTTTGTTTCACTAGCACAAACTACCCACCTTACGATAATTTTGGTACTCTTTAAAATAACATTTTTATTTCAAACTTTAACCCCCAATCCTAGAACAATGAACCGTAGTCACTAACACTGAACAACTGAACCGGACTACTGTAGTGAAGGGCTTATTACAGTCCAAATTATACACCTAAAATCTGAAATGTGTAGAAAACAAATTTGTTTTGAGGAATTGGTGACGATTATGTTCACGATTTTGAATCAATTCATCTAGAATTGTGGTCTATCACATCGAAATTGTATATACCAAAATCTCAAACTGGTGTTGCCATTTTTACAGAGTAAGGAATTGTATAAAACAATATGTAAACGTTAGGTACACTCTTCCCCTCAATAACATCAATCGCTAGTAAGAACACAAGGCATAACTGATTTGGTTACACAAAAAAAAAACAAATATAAAACGAAATAAAGAGACATATCACAACCTGACTGATCAGTTTTAGCAAGTATTGATCCCATCTTTGCAGTCCGTGGTAAGGTTATAGAACGTCTCAACGCGTGTTTTTCCTCTAATAAACACCTCTGTATCAACAGCTACTCTCATGTACCCATCAAATTCAACTGGTTTCCCATTGTTCAACAGAGTCGTCTCATTGTACCACTCACTATTGTTGCCCCACAAGTAGCTATAGTCATCAAGCAAGTGTACCTTGTACTGAGACCTCAACTTGTCAAAGTAATTATAGAACGGCTCATTGGTGGCGATGTACAAATTCCTCCACGCCTGAACCATTCCTTTAAGTTTGTTCAAGATTGCATCAGGCCATGTGTCTGCATCCAAATGTGGCCAGAGCTTCTTGTTCTTCGCTTTCTCGCCTCTAACCACATGAACCGCATCAAAGTCCCAGTCCATTTTCCCACTAATCTCAGAGACAATGTTCATTAACCTCTTTGATTTCCACAGTGAGTGCCATGGCCTCTCTACATACTTTGAAGCTTGTCCTTCGCACACTCTATACCAATAGTTTTCGGGTTCAGGAGCATCAAACTGTCTCCATATAATTGTGCTCTTATCTTTAGTAAGCTGCATCGGCGACACTTTATGCGTCTTAACCTTCCTGACAGGAACTTTCCGTTTATGCGACCGATTCCACTTCTTCCAGTCTCTTAAGAACTCACCCTCTTCAACAATAGAGGCCGTCTCTTTGAGATGCTCAAAATCAAAGTAATACCGAAAATCCTTACCCTCCTCGTCCTTTCCCTTGGAGCTGTAACTTGCAGACAAACACAAACTCAAATCCATTACAAAAGTCCTGTTCAAGTACATTGCTTCTCCTAATCCACACAAGAAACTCCACATATACTGATTCATACCCTTGCAATAATCGCCTCCACGCGAGTAATACAAATACTTCCCTCTCCTGAAATTTGTCTGAGAACCAAGAGTAGGGATTGTATCGTTGATCTCGGGATCACCGCGTGCAACCTTTGGACCGCCTCCTCTGGCTCTAGTCGAGCTTGGCCTGATCCTAGGCCTACGAGCATTAACACCAGAATGCCAACCACTAGTGTGAAACACTTTGTATGTACAATTCTCACCAAATCCAAACTTGAACCTCCTAAAATCTCTGTACTTCCTCCACGACTTCTCCTTTTTGTTCCTAAACCTCCAAGAAACATCACATTCGTCTGCGTTTGAACCATTGACCGGAGTTTCATACTCTAAGAACACAATGGATTTAAAAACCTTGAGATTAAACCTCTGAACAGCAACCAAAACTCGCGGATCGGAGCAATTCACAACCTTGAGCTCGTCACAGTCAATAGAAGAAGACTTCACAGTCATATTCCCGATTCTCTCCTCTGATTCCTCGATCGTTGCCTCCGTAACCGACACCGTAGAGTTCGCCGGTGCTGATATCGGAGAGTAAGCGATGTCTTCACCGGTGTTGAGGATAGAATTGTCGATTTTGAAAGTTGCATTCTCGGTTCCCGTGAGGAGCTTGGTAAGCGCTGGAGCTGATTCAAGCCATGGATCTGGCGGCTGGTAGGTAACGGCAATCACTGTAAAGATGAGAACGGTGAAGACGAACACAGAGAAACAGACATTGCTAATCAGCTTAATCAGGTTCTGGGCGATGGGTTCGGTGGTCAGATCCGATTCCTTCATGGATTTCAGCGAAATCGGAAACCCAGAAGCCAAATCGGATTGAGAAAGAAGATCCCAAAAGAATACGAGAGATTTGGTGATAGAATAACAGAGACAAGAGAGCAGATCTGATGCGAAATCAACAAATGATTTTGCTTTTGGAGTAAGAAAATGGAGTCTAGTGATTG